GCTGCCAAAGAAAACTTGGACATTCTGAGTAACATTTGGCTGACAGTCATGTTTTCACACCAAAGCGCTAGAAGTGCACTGTAAAACGAGTATGACCACAGCGTCTGCAACTTCTTCGATACAGTAATTATTGCTGGGAAATCACCAGTGATTATTTATGAAGCCTATAATGTCATTATGAAGTATTTATGAAGCCTATAATCCAGTGTAATGCTCTAAAATACATCCTGGGTGTCACAGTACTTTCTAACGTATGTATTATCATCAGTGTAATTCAGGTAAAGAGTGACTCGTCAGAAAACATCATCTTTTGCCGGTCTACATGACATTGGCTATGTTTAGAAGTTTTTTGTAGCCTGAGGTATCGCAATTGCGTGGTCAAGGGCGTCTTTATCAAAATAATGCTTGTACGCAGTGCTCTGCCCAGAATATGCCTTATCATGGAAACATAGTGTTCTAATTTTATAATGCTATACTACATTCAAAATCAAGCCGCACACTTGGGCACTGCCGTGTGGCTGAGATGTCTGTCATCTCGTAATGTCATCAAATTTCTCTGTCCACTGTCAGAATTTCGACTTTTCGTTTTCTTCAAGTCACTGCTTTCACATTTCTATCACTGTCAGGTATCATATTAGAGATCAGAATATTGATAAACTAATTTAACGGAAAATCACAAAAATTATTTTAAAATTTTTAATCTGTAATTTAGTAAATAACATGTATCAATGCGATCCACGTGAGTCTTTTTAATTCCATCTCTGGTGTGTTAAAATATTCTCATAAATTTAAATGCTAATATAAATTTGACAGCCAATGAACCTTACATATGTTTTCTGATAAAATCGCAAAAACTCTATTCTGAAGCAATTAGTGGCGAAACTATTAATTTATACTATATCTCTGATGTTATAGTGAAGTTTATACTTGACGAACTAAAGAAATCAAAATAGATTTTTAAGTAATAAAGCTAAGAATGCTTTGAAGTATCGTATAATGGAAAGATTTGGTTTTTGTGATTATGGCAAAGCCTCGAGAGTTATTTAGTCAAGCGAAGGGTTGCCAACGTGGTGAGCTTTCTAAGGGAAAACCAACTCGCATACATGTTACACACGAGCAAAACCACGAAAGATCCCATGAAGCCGGCCCTTTCGCCAGATTCCGAACTTTGGACCGAACTACCAGTGTTCATCGCCTTTACCGCTCGGCCACTGATGGGCCCGTAACGGAAAGGTGAAATGGTTATTTTGAGATTCTGCAATTGTTTTGATTCCTACTTCGGAAATTCAAAATATGCTGATTGTGGAATTTCGAACAAGAGAAATAGATAGATTCAAAAACTGCTGGGCCTAAATCCGAAATCAGTCGACGACTACTTCCATATTATCAAAGATGGAACACCTTCAGTTCGTAGTAAATAATAAAATTTTTGTATCCTATAACGAATTAATACTAAATAAAAAGAACTGAAATTCTTTTAGCAGAAAAAGTAAGAAGAAATTAATTAGGAAAAAAATATAAATTTCTTTATAACAACCAGAACCTTAGAAAGCATTCTCAGCTCTTTTATTTGTATAAAAATTAGATTTTCAGTTAGGAGAAAGTTATTGAGTTTGGGAAAATTATATTTTGCTAGTTTTGTGGCAAATTATAATACTGTATAACTTGAGTATGGCAAATTATACAACTGTGAATGTGTGCCTATATTTTAAAACGAATTTTTAAATAAAAAATACTTAATTTTCGATATAAATGAAGAATTTTTTCTATGCTTTCATGATAAAACCTATACAGGTTTGCATAAAAATGTCCAACTCAATTACGACGATATATTTTTATTTGTCTCTTCAGTATTCCACACGTCTGTCACAAGCTTGTCAATTTCTTTATGGTGTTAATTTTTCCCAAACATGAGTATAATACTCGTTATAATCAAATATGTTATAGGCAGTCTGTCCTAGTATGCTTTGTCAGAATTAAATAAACGAAAAGAATATAATCCATTTATGACGAAAGAAAATTCTTTAACACATTGCTCTAATGGGTATCGAAAACATCGAGGCAAGTACATCGCGGTTCGCTGATAAAGGTAACGCCGTCTTGCAAAACATCATGGGAGAAAAGAAAGCAAGGAGAAAAGATCGCAGTTCTAAAACATAGTTGCACGCAATTAAAAACCTGCAAATCATCACATGACGATAATATCGCAGACATGCGTTTTTTAGGGTTTAAAAATTCGCACATTCGAGTAAAGATTTGCAAGCACAAGATGGAATGAATAATATTTTTACTTTTGCATTTCATATTTTGAATTAACTAATAAATTTTTTCTGAAAAATTAAGAAGGAAACTTCAGTATTCAAACACTGAAAATTAATAGAAAATAATGCTAATGCTAGGTATAACAGTCAATAGAATTTTAAACTTATGTAATTAACTATTAAAGGTCATTTATTAATTAATTTCTTTCATAAGGTTTTATCGATAATTTTTTGTGAAAGATATAGTCTAAAAAGACGATTAAGGAAAGGAAGATGAGTAACTCCATGTGATTACCTCTATAAAATTCTTTAATTAGTTATCAAATTATAAAAGCATTAATAAGTAGCATTCATTTTCTATTCATTTCGAGTTTTAGAATGCTTAAGTTTTCGTCTTAAGTTTTCAACAAAAATGTATTAGTTCAAAAATATAAAAATAAAAATATTCCTCATTTCTTCTTGCGCTTACAAATTATTATACGAATATAAATTTATAATTTTTATATCCTAAAAATCGCATGTCTGGCATATTATCGTGATGCTATGATTTGTGGATGCTTCATTTTTTACCATGATTTTCTCTTTGCTCTTTTCTCCCACGATGTTTTGTATGACGACGTTTTCGCCTTTCGTTCGCTATTTTTTCGCCTGTAACAGCTCTAACTCCATTTTATTCGTATAAGCCAAGAAAATTACTGGTCATTTTTCTCTCCTTATTTAAATCTTTCATACTGTATCATATATATATATATATATATATATATATATAAGAGCGAAAATATTTTTAAATATACGGTAAGAAAGCCTGAAGAACTTTACGTAAATATCATAAAATTCTAAGCAGTTGGATGTAATTATCCAATCATCCAACTTTATTTTTTTATCGCAGAACAAAGAAAAGTTGTAATGTTATTTTTAAAAACGTCATGTGCAATAGGAACATTTTTAAATTACTAAATTTCTTCTTCTAATTTATTTCTCCCAAACTAAGTTGTAAAAATACATTTAAAAATATCAAATTGAAATGCTGCTAAATCTAATGCATGCATCAAGATACTTTCAAGTCATAGTAACTTGAAATCTAAGGGAATTATTTCCATTCTAAAAACTATTTTGATGTTGGCATTTCAATCACTCTTCCCACATTGTTTCCTTTCCAAAATTTGGTAACGTAGTTTAAATTTTATAAATAATTTTACTTCTAAATAATTTACATGGTTAGTTATAATTTAAATACCTTTTCCCTAGCTTTAGAGCCTCTTGCACAAACAATAAGAAGTGTGATTTTATGAGCATTTACTATAGGTGAAGATTTATGAAAGTTGTTCTGAATGGTATAAAATATCTAGCATAATATTCAGGCAATCATACATTATTCCTTAGCAAATTTCTTAGCAAACTCCTTGCAAGACGTTTTTCTATTAAGTAGCTTTTTCTCAGTTATTTCCAAGATGCATTAGCTCTGAAGTTTTTAATGTATTTACATCCCGCCTTTTGCGTGAAAGTGTCAAGCGTAAATTTCATCAAAAACCTAAAGATAGATTTAGCCATCACTATTTTTGAGTTGAAGCGAAGAACATCTTATGGAGGGCAGAAAGCCAAAGTTTTGATCTATGAATTGCATACATTATTCACACGCAAGGCTTCCGCTCCTTGTCAAGGATATAGAACATTCTTTTCATTGGGGATGTTTTGAAATAACTTAAATTGAGTCAATTTACTTTGTATCAATGCTAATTTTTATTTTAAATAAGAAAACGCGTTGGTTTAAAATTGCTAATTTGATTGTGCACCAGTTTTATAAATCCTTTTATTTCACTGTATTAAGTCTGTTCATAGATCCATTGTAAAGAACAAAAAATAATATTGAAAACTACTTTTCTCGAAGTTTTCTGAATGGAAAAAATGCGATGAAAGTACTTGAATAGCATGTTTGAAACTCCTAAAATTAAGCACTGAAATGACACTTATTCTGCATTATATTTTAGCTTTCGAAGTCGCTAGTTACGTATTTGATACAAATATTTTACTCTCCTGTATTAAGAACATGAATTACGCAGTTAATATTTTATCAACTACAGTTAAGAGTATAAGCAAAGGGGTTAAAATTGCTCAGTTTACATAATTTTCATTTGATAGCAATTTGTATGATTTAGCATCACTATATTGACAAACACAAGTACTCTAAAGCTTTTTAACATTTTTCTTTCATCACTGCAATTCCACAAATCTATTTTTAATACTATATGACTCATTTTCAAAGGCTTAATATAAATTTATTTCTTGTACTACTATTTCGTGTAAAACGAACTGTGCTACAAGTTTCATGTACTTCGTTTCTGTATTTTTTCCTTGCTCTATAACTATTCCTAATGTTTTTGTTTCCCAAATGCGCGTTTATTCCAACAGATGATTTTTAAATGAATGTTGAGAAAATGTCCTTCTGTTTGCTTATGTTCTAATTATGCTATTTGTTTATTAAATAAATTGTAAAAAGCACTACATATATTTCTGTGGATGCCTCATTTGGTTTTTATGTCTTTTAGTTGTTCATGCTTTCATTTCACTTCTTTCTTTTATTGTATGTATTATTACTTCCTATAATACTATAATTTTACATAATAAAACAAAGGTTTATTAAAGTATAATTATATTCATTTATTAGCCTTTCGGCAGTGCTTGCGATATCATACTGCATTGTTTTCAATTAATAACTGAAATATAAATCAGAAATTTATATCAGGCAATTTCAAACTTAATTTATTTTCAATTTATTTAGAGCTCACAGCATCAAAATAAATAAAGTATTAACCAACATCTAAACATCTAATATCCGTATCGGGCGTATCCTAAACCACCAAGAAGTCCACTACCAAGACCATATCCTCCATATCCAAGACCTCCATACGCGTAACCAAGTCCTCCATAGCCAAGACCGACATTTTCTTAACCACCGTATCCATAACCTGCGCCACTGCCTGATAATCCATATCCTTCTAAAGCACCGTATCCAGCTCCAGCATATGGAGCAGAGGAAATCACTTGAACAGCAGCTGGATTCTGGTTGGCAGTGCCTGGTTCATTGGTCTTGACTTGGGCACGGAATCCTGCATGGTCAGCGACATAGTTGACTTGTCTATGGATACCCCTGGCATCGGTGAATCCATAGCTGCCCTTCACTCCACTAGCACCATCTCCGACTTCTTCTCTATGCTGTTCACCATGGTGGTCTTTTACACTGTATCCAAATTTGTACGGCTGGGGAGTATGATGAATGGGCTGTAAACACAAAAAAAAGATTTTTCTGATGTCTTTTAATGAACAGATTATGATAAATTAAGTTATCCTAAATCTTATAATGAAGAACAAATTTTAAATTCATAATAAAAGCCTCAGTTTTTAAGAACTTATAAACTATATTATAATTAAAATTAAAGCAATAAGTTTTTCTGTAAATATAGCAGTGATTGTGTCGAAGACAGAACTATTTAGGTAAGTTTGCCAAACGTTTTGAAATAGCCTTTATCTTATCATATAATTATATATATATGCCAATAAGTACAACTTAATTTATAATTATCAACCATAATACATGCTTATTTATTATTACTTCATTTTTGCATTGTTTTCCTCTTTTTGCTTTTCAGAATATCTATATACATGTGAATCGTGATCAGCTGAATATAAATATCTATTTGAATATAGATTGCGTTAAATCGCGACTATGTGCATTGGATGGCCCGCCTAAAATAATACCCCTAAAATTTTGGAAAATCTGATGCATATAAATACTGGCTGAATTTTCTAATTACTAATATTTTAAGAGAGATGATTTGAAACATATCGATACAGCAAATGTCTGGAAGTAATTATTACTGAAGAAAGACGAGAATGTAATTGAATACAAAATGACTGTTTCATTTTTAATGTTCAAAATAATGTAACTCATCATAATTTTCATATTATAATGGACAGCGTTGCACGTATGTATCAGCAATTTTCCGAATTTTATATGACATTTGAGTTCCGGTACCTCATTTAACTTCATAAGTTTAAAGAAAGAGCTTGAAAACTAGAGCTTATTAAATAAGTGCTAGAGCTTATTAATCCATTTCGACGGAAAAACCGTTATTCCCTTCTCAGTAGTAACCAATATAGCCTGAGAAAATTAGTTTCAGTTATTCTAGACAACTGTATTTGCTTACGCATGTAACTGATTTCAGCTAAATGATTTTTACCACTGCATTAAAATCAGAATAAATCACAACCGAAGTAAAATTGAATCATGAATATATCCCTCCGATAACTAAATTAAGCTTTATGTGTTTATTAAAGCAAGCCATTTGATTGTAAACGCCCCATTTTAAACGTTTAAGATTGTAAAGAATTATCACCTTTACTCATGCGTGCTATCGTCGTGATGTCCGGTTAACAGTAGGAAGGTGCTGTGTTCGAATTTTTCGTGCTTACTACTCCAAATAAGTACCTAATAGCTGTACAGAAAAATATGCTTCCCTTTTATACTTTGGTAAGCTTTGCCGAGTAATGCCAGTAAGATGAATAAGCCTCCACCCTGAATTGTTATTTAAGATGTCAGGTATGATTACTGATGAAGGCACTCAAAAGATTCTAGCAACTAAACCTTAAAAATTCAACAATATTCTTATATTGTCATTTACCTCGAATTTTTATCTTATTCAAGTCAAATAAGAAATGAAGTAAATTCTTCGTGATTAATAAATATAGCTATTGCTTCTTTCAAAATCCAAATTTCCAAATTGTTTTGATCCAGACTGGGTTACAGTTCTGATTATACGAAATGATATACTCAAGATTCTAGTTTTACAATAATTACTTTGTTGGTTGTTATTGATTTTGACTACTTTATTCCTATATTTTATCTTCTATCCTTTTGATAGATTGAAATTAAGTATATATTTGCGAAAATATAAAAATACATCGTGTTTTAATGTTTTCAGTAGCTATTACCATTACTAGAAGTAAATATCAGATTAAGAAAACTAGTTTTTCGTTTGAGTCTTTTTCTCAAATATATTAAAATTATATTTTTAATAAACCCGAAAACCCTTGTAATAAATATTATACGCATTAAAATACATAATAGGAAGGAATCGCTTCAAAACTATAAAGAATATGTTAACAGCAATTTTTCTTTACGTATAATCATGATAATTTTACTTACCACATGTAAGTGTGCGTATGAAAGAGTAGCTACGAAAGCTAAAATGAAAACCTAAAAAAAAAAAAAAAAAGAACAGAAAAGAAAACAGATTGTGAGATACAAGTAACGATATTTTCCATATTTATGTACAATATATAAGAATTGGTTTCGTATTTGCCTTATCAAGATGCTTCTGAAATTTAAATGAAAGGAAAATGATCACCGGTAAAAACTTATTTTAGATTTTAAACTTCATTCCCATCAAGATCTTACGTTTTAAGAAGTGAAATTCCTGAAATAATCGCTTAAAATAATTTCATATAATTGATCGGCTTTCTTACATAAGTATAAGAAATAAAAATGTTTAAAACATTGTCAAAAAGCCTTTTTGATATTTCTTACCTTAGAGAACATTATGAATATTCTCAACCTTAATGCAAGTTACACTGAATCATTGTTGTGAGCGGGTATATTTATAGTTGTCAACCTTAAATGGAAATTCTATTCATACCAGTCTGGAGACATTTTTTTACGCTTGAATGCTATTGGTATGCTAGTTTGAACGCAAGACCTTCCGAATGAGGTTAAATGGCAAATGCTTTGATAACTAAAATTAATTTTGTCTCTATTCCTTATGTCTTTAAGAATATTTTGAAACTTACCCTAATTATGGTTGAGAATATTTCAGGTTTTGGATTATTATCCATTGCTGCCTTTTGCCTATTGACAATTTATTAAAACTATTGCATTTTAAAATATATTGCAATATATCAGATGTGTGTCATTTTATGAAAACGAATCTGAATGTGCTTTACTATTCTTGGCTAATGTTTATTCTAAAAGACTAACATTAACCTGTATCTACACCAAAATACTTATTTTCTCTTTACATTAAAAAATATCCAGCTGAGGATTTTTTATTGCGTCTAATGCTAAAATTAATTTCAGTTAGTACTTACAAATGTGAGCTTTTATGCGGTATTGCTCCTAATATTTAGTTATACTTTAAAGTAAACAGATTGTTAATTTCACATTTTTGACTAGATTGAAATAGTTATCAATAAATAATACCTGTGCCTTTATGATCCTAATTTTTTTTTCATGAATAAGAGTGAATAAAATAAGATTCTTTATTTTTATAAATATTATTAAATATCCAGTTACTTGTAAAGTAATCTGATTCATTTTAGGCTTTCAAACGTATTGCAAGTATTTAGATCTACTGTAATTTCACTTTAGTCTTAATGCACCTATAAATCTTTCATGAGCCTTAATTTTAGATACGCAATATTTGGCATTTTTCAGCTTTATTTTTGTAGATTAATGATTCCTCATCTTTTTTTTTCTGTACAAGAATTTAAAAAATTCAAATTTCAACATGTTTATTATTTCATACAATGATAGCAAAGATCTAATCTTTGGTATAATGTTCCAATGCAACATTTTCTCGTCCACGAACTTGGATCAAGAGTCTTTTCTTATGTCTCAGTCTTTCGAGAAGTTCTTTTGAGTCTAAGATGCATTGGATTCTACTTTCAACGCAGTCACGAGTTTGGATGCAAAAACGATTGTAGTTGTAATTTTATCATGAAAACAGTTATTTGCATTTTCTTTTTATTGCCATTAATTTGCGTAAATTCATGCGCATATGTATACTACTAGCAAACATTTCATGAAATACTTGAGTTTATTTCTCACTTACATCAACCATCATTTTATTGTGTTTAGCATAAGACACGTATATTTTATATCTGTACCCTTTAACAGATTTTTAATAGATTTGGTAAAAGTAAATGAACCGGGCTTTGAATTATGATAGCATGAATATTTGCATTTTGTATAAAGGCAAATGGATAGCTTTTAGAATTATCTGGGGTTTTGAAACAGAGCATATATGAACAATAGGAACTCAGGGAAGAGTGTTTGTTGAACTCCACTCGGTAGTTCCATCTAGTTGAGTTCCTCGTACCAAAAAATAGGGGGTTTCGTGAGTGACTTTTAGCTCAATTATTGCATCTAGCATCGACTCTTATGAATGTTAGTGGTTCTATATTTTTCAATAGAAATTAACGAAAATTTTCTCTGTTTCATGTAAGCTCTTCAGCAGTTTTTGCAGTCACACTAGGTGTTTCTTAAATATAATAAAAATAGTTCCACTGCTCTTACTATTTTTTGCATTGCGCATACCTTTCTAAAGCTCAAACTTTCGTTATTGTTTGAGTCTTTATTTAAGAGTTTATTTATGAGCACCCTAAACTTCAAACCTTCAGTACCTCTATATGTAGAGCAAATTAATGTTACATTAATGTTAATCGAGATTTAGCTTTCGATATTTAAAGATCTTAACCCAAATGAATTTAGCATACAGTAGATCACTGTAAATAAAACATTCAAAATAGGAGGTTACAGGAGTAATACAAGATTATGTTCGCAAGAATATGCCATGAGGAGACATACGACTCCGAGTCTCATCTTAAAAAGGAGTGGAAGTCATTGAAGAGTATTCTTTAAGAAAAGTTATATAAATGTTAACTTTCATTAAGCAAGAAACTTTTGATATGCTCTCTAAAGTGACAACTTAAAGTCAACCGTTTTCGGGAGTTAAAAGATGGTTTTCAGCTAAATATCGATCGAGATAGTCCATCTGAATTTACAAAATAATAGTTCTTGGAGTTAGATGAAGGAGTAGAGTTTCAGATAACCAGTTAAGCATCAACATCACTAAACCTATACCCCTAAATCTACTCAAAAAAAAAAAAAAAAAAAGACTCGGTAAATTTTTGTCTTCTTCTTTTCATGTTAATTAAACTGAAATAACAAGCTTAATGTGCCTACTGTGGACTATTAAACTTCAAATTTGAAAATTACTAGTTCATGAGCAGGAGAGAGGTTTTCCAGAAGTTGTCAAACGAAAAAAGGTTTTGCCTCATTCTTATTACTTTCATTTACTCAAGATGTTTCCTCAAAAATATATATAACTTTAATGTAAAGTGTCATACTTTTATTTAGCTGTATGTTTAATATTCTGTATATTTTACTTATAAAGACTGAAAATGAATATTTTATTAATTTTGAGGGCGAGCTCATCTCGGGATCATTAATTTTCAAATTTTTTCTAGCAGCCGAACACTTCCTTAACTACTATAACAACATAGCATGCATTTTAATTTTAATTAATATAATTTATTCTTAATTTACATTCCTATAAGTATTCTTATACCATTTATTTACCTTTATGATAATTAAAACGAGAAGTGGGCTGCATGGCCAGCTCTAGTACGCAAGTGGTCCGTTATTAGGCAACCCAAATTTAGCCTTGCCGATGTGTTTGTTATATTATTAAATTTAATGTTAGAACAGCAGATGAAAGGAAACAGCTGAAAATCTGAAAGGAACAAAATTAGCTACACAGAGCCTCATGTTTCATTGTTTCCCATAGATTAAGTAGTTAACTATGGGTAAAATTATATTAAAGGGCTGGTTTCATGTTTTAAAGTAAAAACTTATAAATAACGCAGCATAACTAGCAAAATAATATCAACTTAACATTCTCAATACAGGATACTTTTCCAGGAAGAAAATAGTTTAAGACACCTTTAAAAGACCATTCTGATACCGGTGTGTAATATGTCAAAATCTACAGGCAGCAGGAATCACAACATTATCATGCGAAGAGTGTCTAAGAGGTATAAGTAATCAGTTTCTAGAGATAAGCATTTATTTAGAATGTAACAGACCGGAAATGATTTACAGAATCCGAGCAAGATTTTTAATTGGGATAAGATTGCTATTGTTATTATTTCCAGATCAGAGATCGTGTATAAATAAGATTAAAAAAGGGCGCACAACTGCAGGATGTGTAAGCTCACTGTTCTTTTAACACTCACCGCAGCTGAAAACCTTGCGCCAGCTATGTCGGCTAAGATAAGCAAGATTTACATTATGCAGATCTAATTCAGTAAACTTTGATTATTTAAAGTGTTTTTTGTCTACGTCTTTAGAATGAAAAATTAATTGAGCTTATTCTATCGGAGTGCAAGGAAAATGCTCGCTACTTGCTGGATAAGGATTTCAAATGAAATTGAAGAGCGTTATCACTTCCATACAAACTAGTTGGAAACCTGATAAAGGCTTAAAAAACATTTTCGTATAATTTAAAATTAAATAAAATACCATTTCTAACGTTTAGTTCTTGCTTCTAACAATTAGATGTAGGGATCAATTACCGAATCTAGCTCTAAGTCCTTATTTTTGGTTTCAGCCAAGGTGTAGTAGCGCTCAAAAGCTCTTTATAAACAAGCTGCGAAATTTCGAGACCTTATATATCCTTTTAAAGTTTCCATCTTCTGAAAGAGTTAAGGTGAAGTAATGGAAAAGATATTTAAGAAATAATAAACGAAACGCATCAGAAACTAAAATTATGCAAAGAAACAAGATGTTTATTTTTCTCTAACAACCTTATCTGTAAAACATTTAATTTAAATCTTTTTTTTAATTCCTGCTATTAGCTCACACTCTCCCTATATTTTGTGCAAATTTTTGGTCGTTAATAAAATACTTTTTATTTATCCACTCAAGTTCAAATACATTTTTTAAACTTGTAGTTAATGACGCTTGATGTTAATACAGTTTTCACATATTAAAGTCAATTCCTACAATGTTAAAGTAATAACGAATTTTAATTTTTTTTTATATTACTTAAAAATGTTACTAAATGTTTACATATGGATATTTTATTATTAAATATTTACAGTTTGGTTTGACTAAACCGAGAGTAGTTTATTAACAATTAATTTTTAATAACTAATTTGGATAATTTGAACTCACTGGACAGGTTCCTTGCAATAATGAAGCATTACAAGAGATGGATAGAATGAGAAATTATAGACCACCATCAGCTTCATAAATTAGAAACGAAAAAAATGTTAATCATTTTAATAAAAAGTAACTAAAATAAATTATTTCTTTGTTGACCTAAGTAGGAATTGACTTTAGTAAATAAAGAAGAAAACAAGCAACGTAATATTTTTTTTATTATATTTTTTATATTACTGTTTTTCTCTACCAAACTGTAAGACTAGCTCTGAAGATTATCACAGTCGGCAGAATCAAAATAATCCTAATATTAACTATAGTTTCTTCTCATTAGTATTAATTAGCTAAATTTACATATTTTAGCATGATTAATGCAAATCAGATTAATTACAATGGACTGTCTTGAGCAACTTAAAAGTAAAGCTTTAACACAACTTTAAAGAGATTGATATATTTTTGCATAAAATTGTCGTAAGAGGAAATAATTATACATATTTCAATTAGGTCATAGGATATTCGATTTATTTTCCGTAAGTGCTGAGCATAGTTCAATAATATCATTCATATACCAAGGTAGTATAGTTTAAAAGTGACGCATGAAAGTTGAGTATTATTGCAACTATCACAAAGAGTG